TTTATACGCCTGAAGGTCGTTCGAGAGACGAGTGACTATGAGTGGCACTAGCCCTGGCGGCGATTCAATTGGAAGAGATCTATGCCACGAGTGCTTCAGAACTGTTCCGCCTCGAGTCTCAAGCCTCGAGTCTCAAGCCTCGAGCCTCGAGCCTTGGCTCACATTTGACTCCGTTTCTATTACCATTTCATTCAGATCAGCCAACTGCTGCTGAGCCATAAAGCGCTAAAGTGTTCTTTTAATTTAAGGCTTGTTTACTTTTATTTGTATTTTCATTTTTATTGCAATATACACGAATACGTGTGTGTGTATGTGTAATACAATCTACATACAATTACTTGTCGCATGCGACTCACTCAAAGAGTTTGACTAACTCTCTGGCTGGCTGGCTGGCTGTCTGGCTGTCTGGAAGGCTTTCCTTGCCCTTCGTCGGTTTGGTTGTCGTAAAACGCTTTGCTGGCAATAAAAGCAGTTAACTAGCTAGATTTATTGTACTAAAATATTGTTTAAGTGCACAGTAAACAAGAGCAACAGCTACTTCAGCAATTACTACCAGGTATAGTTAGTCAGGAACAGATAGACACGGACGGACACACTCTTCTTTTGTAGGTGCCTCGCTCGGCTTTCTAATTGCTCAATTGCCGTTCGCTATGCTGCATAAATAGACGTTAACAACTTTGTGTTTATTGTAACACATAATAAAGACTATATATACACCTCATAAAATAAACATAATTTTACTAGTTGATTTCGTTTACTGATAAACCATTTGCCATTCCCAACAATTTATGAAAGAAATTTGACTCTATTTGGATTGCTTTGATGTGTATAAATATTCTGATATAATAATGATATAAATATTTTCCTATTCATAAATATTTTGATAACGATGAACACCTTTTATAGCGTAGCTCAATTTTTGTCAAACTGTAATCATAAATGTTTTTATTGCGATATCTAACTGTAGTTTACTCCAGTGGGATACAGAACTATCCACTTCCTTTACACTGAGAGATGTCTGCACTCATATACATACATATATTATTTGGCAAAACTTTGTTTATAGATATATAATATTTATGATTTTCAGTACATCTTATCATTTTCTGAATTTTAGTTTTTGACTTACACTAGGTAAAGAAATCAAATATTTTAATTATATATGTAGTTTTATTTATTTAGTCTTCCATTCACTGTGTTATTTATTCACTGTAAAAACATATGTACTGAGGTTGAGCCTAAAGCGTTCCCAAGTTTAGCTTCACCATGAAAAATAAAATAAAAGGTGGGTTGACATAAAACGTAGATAATTATGTAGTTGGGAATATAAGTAAACTGTAATGGGGTACAATTCGTAGTATATATATTTATCTAAATATTTATGTAAAAATATTTTACATTCCTTATAAGATAAATGTAAATGCAGTTCTTAATAGTTTTACTTATAATATGAGATACAGAGAATGTCATACAATATTTTCTTAACAATATTTACCTAACACACACGATATATCTCGGATATCTCTGTGGATATCCATGTGTATTTGGAGGGTGAGCCAAAGATGCCTTCAAAATTATCTGGAAATGCATTGCTATTGAGCTATTGAGCTAAGTGTGTTTACTGATTCGAATGCATTGTAATATATTGTACAGGGAAACATCGCCATTGAAAAGTGAAAAGTGAAAATGAGAGACGAGGCATTGTTTAGGGGCTGTTGCCATGTACGAAAGCATCTTGTCAAACATTCGAATCTTAGTTGTAGCAACACATGCTCAATTGTATCTTGTGCATTTCAAAGGTGCCCCCGACTCTGCATATGTATGTATGTATGCATATGTGTGTGCATACAATATTTTATTTTTTACAAAATGTCTGGCGTCGTGGCTGTCAGCACGACATTGCGTATATTCCTCTCGATCTCCTGGCCATCCCTTTGCCTTGGTGCGTTCTTTGCTTTGTTTATATTTGGAATGCGTGTATCTGTTTTTCAATTTTTTCTTTTCATTTACTTCTTGACTCGAAGTCGAATATTTCGTTGGGCAAGATTCTCGCTGCTTTCATGCGACTACAAATTGCCCAGACCTGGTTCGAACAAGTTTTCATTTTTATAAGAAAACAGGAATGGAAACGCATACCAGAAACTTGCTCAGCGGAATCGAAGACTGCTTTTCATACGGTGCATTCAGCTGGGACTTCGCTCTCGGCTGGAGTGGAAACTGGAAAGACCACAAGATTTTTCAGCTACGGCTTGAGTTGATCAGCTAGATCTTGGCTGTGTATGCATAGCCTGGAGCTTATCTAGATTCTCCGGTTTCCATGCGGCAACTCTTTTTACATGGAAAACAATTTGGGGCCAGAAAAGAGTTCTGGGAATAAAGAAATTTAAGGCAATTAAAACGCATCGCCTGCCATTGGGCAGTTGAGGCAGACAAAGAGACAAAGTCTCATAATTAGCTGGGAGAAAGATCGTCGAGTCTAGCGATACGATATGAACGGGGTCTCCTTAGCTAGAGGTGTGTCTAATTGGATAACACAAATCTAATTTAATTCGTTACCAGCATCTTAGACACGACCAAGGAAAGAAAACCTGATTTTAGTTTTGTCGGTCTGTCTATCTGTCTGTTTGCCTTCGTCTTGTTCGTCTTCTTCTTCTTCAGTTTTTTGTATATTTTTTATGGTAGCCAAGCCAATGAACTTTTCTCTCACAATATAAATCTCGTCTCTGCCCAACTATTGGCTGCCGTCCGCTTCTTCTTCAGCCACGGGAATTCTGTAACTGCAGGCTCTTTCGTCATATTGCATGAGAATTAATTAGAAATGATCATGATCATCATACTCGCCGTTTTATAGTTGTCTGAATTTGAATTTTGTCAGATGGACCGGCTCCAGAGTAAGCTAGCGCGGCTCACATAATGAAGCCATAAGCCGCCATTGCGGCCATAAACCCATTTGAATATTAATTTTGTTAATTAACTTATTCAAATAGAGGCATCGTTAAATATGGAAAGAAACACTTTTTATTGTTTTCCCTTCATTCTTTTCTTTTCGATTCGTTTTCCATTTTCTGCGCTCAGCTGCTCTCTTTTGTTGAAAAGTATTGTAGCTATTGGTAATTGGAATATTGCATTGTAATAGCTGACCAAAGATAGTCAAGTATTTTATTGAAATAATCATATACGAAAAGGAATACGAAATATAAGATCTAAAATGTGCAAAATAAAATATAATATATAAAATATAAAATATGAAATATGAAATATAAATATAAAATATAAAATATAAAATATAAAATATAAAATATAAAATATAAAATATAAAATATAAACTATAAAATATAAAATATAAAATATAAAATATAAAATATAAAATATAAAATATAAAATATAAAATATAAAATATAAAATATAAAATATAAAATATAAAATATAAAATATAAAATATAAAATATAAAATATAAAATATAAAATATAAAATATAAAATATAAAATATAAAATATAAAATATAAAATATAAAATATAAAATATAAAATATAAAATATAAAATATAAAATATAAAATATAAAAATAAAATATAAAATATAAAAATATAAAATATAAAATATAAAATATAAAATATAAAATATAAAATATAAAATATAAAATATAAAATATAAAATATAAAATATAAAATATAAAATATAAAATATAAAACATACAATATACAATATAAAATATTGAAATAAAATATTAATATAAATATTAAATATTTCTTTTCATTTAATTTTATTTATGAATTTTAAAATCTTAAAAATATTCGTTATTTATAAATTTCTTAATTTTAGAAAACATTTAGAATTGGAAAACTTCTTAGACGTATTTGAATATGGAAAAAATATCCTTTAGGGAATAAAAACAATGAAATAAGCGCTTATCAAGTTTTTTAAAAACTTTCTTTCAGAGATAGAATTAATCACTAGAAATATGTTATACAAGTTCTACTCAGGGTAATAACTCTGGGCATATTAAATCGTTGTTTATTCAGTTATTGTTTTTATTAACAATTTGAATGCCGAATTGTAAATGTCAATTTGATACTTATGCATTGGCATTCTTATTTGCCTTGAGTCGGTGTCTACGTCTACGGCTATGAGCATGGGCTTGGGTATACGTACATATGTAAGTGAAGTATGCGTGAAAGTACAAATAGATTTGACTTTGACCCTGACACCGCTAAAGCCAATGGCAATGGCAGCAGCAGAGCCAGAGTCAGAGCCAGTGGCAGAGGCAGAGGCAGAGGCAGAGGCAGAGGCAGAGCAGCAGTGGGAAATGGAAGTTGACGTTGAAGTGTGAGCCAACTATTGCACAATGCAAATGCGAAACGAGGAAACAAATTTTACGACGTGTTTGACGGCTGTCTGTTTGCCTGACCCTCTGTCTTGGCGTCTGTCGCAGTCCGCCTGTCCGTGTATTTGCCTAGTTCGGCGCTTACTTCCGCCCTTCTCCAGTCCGTCCCGACAGCGTGCACCCCTCTGCCTACGGCTCACTGCTCACTGGTTGGCTGTCATACAGCAGTAGCGAATTCATCTGCGAGGAATGCATTATTACCTGACTGCCTGACTGCCTCAGTGTCTGTTGCTCTGTCTGTCCGTCTGTCTGTCTGCCTGCCTGCCTGGTTGGTGTCAAATGCAAACAAGACGTTTGCGCCAGTCATAAAGTCGTAAGATGACCTCTCCAGACAGGCGCAAGGACGGAAACGTAGCGACTGCTATGTTGTTTTTGTTGTTCTCGTCTTAACCCTTAAGTGTGCTGGGAATATGGGCCTAAAGCGGCGTCTGCAATTAATCGCATTTATTTACAGTTTCCACATTGTTACCAGTTTGAGCATGTTATTAAATCATGGATTTATTAAATCAATTAACTTTAATTGATACATATATTAATAATAACTGAATATCTCTCTCTCTTTCTCTTCAATTTTATATAATCTATATATCCCATCTCATTCTCTTACTATTTTTAGCAACTCTAGTAGTTATTGCTGCACTCGCCCTTAATCCGCCTGAGGAAAGAGCCTCAACAGGAGTCATTTTCAGCAGTGGCCAACCAAACTCATATTGTTGCGCCGATAGCGGCGAGTATCTCCCCCTCCAGTGTCAGTTCCCAGCCACCAGGTAAGCACATATCAACAAAATTCTTAGAGTAAGCAAGGAACGACATTCCTTTTCCATATATGTATATGTGTAAGTATACTCATATATTAAATTTATGTGTTTACTATAAGAAGCTATTTCTAAGAAATTACATGTTATCGAAGTTATTCGATGTATCATTCATTTGGATAAGATAAAATAATTATACACAAATATTATAAATGGCAGCCTTGAAGGATTCCTATCTTCAGCTCACATACTATGCAATATGCGAGCGTGTGCGCGGTTGTGTGTGTGTGTCTGAGTGTATGGGAAATTCGTGTTCCAATCATTGTCAACATTTCTCCGCCCTTGTCCTGGGCCGTTTTCTTCCAATAGAAATTGTCGTAAAACGCTCATAATTGTCCATCGCCGAGTTAAATTCGGCAATTGTCGCATGGCTCGGGTCGGACGGGGTCGGTTCAGGGCGGAAGGAAACGAGACGGTTCGTACAGGGGCCCGTAGATATTGTTTCTAGGGCCTGGCAATTGTATCAATTTGTCTGTCGTAAATTATTCTACATATGTATGTATATGTGCATATATGTATATATTTACTCAGCTCATTTTGATTAATTAGCGCCCTGAAAGGGGTGCTTTTAATATATTTTCTTTTCCTATGGGTCTCTGCGTGTGCACATAATAAAGTGCGATACGAAGGCGCCTCAAATGCCAGTGCTTAGTTGTATTTACTGTTTATTATTTTAGAGGACTTCGAAAAGAGAGAAAATCAGAAGGAAACTGAAAACATCGCATGCCTTCCATGTCAATGCCGAGGGGGTCAGCCCAGTCCCTTTGCATTGAAATCTCGGCCATAGATGGCGCTGTGGTGCGGCGGACAAATATATATTTAAATCAGCCCCAAACAAACATATAGAAAAGACTTTGTTGTTGCTGCGGCACGCACCAGAAAGAGTGCATGCCAAAGTATGACTGAGAGAGAGAGAGAGAAAGAGAGTTATGTGGAAGAGAGGGAGTGGGACAGAGAGAGAGGTATACAAACAGTGAGAGAGAGAAGGAGAACACTAAACAAAACGAAAAGAGCAAACAAAGGCTAACTATGCACATGTACAGTATGTGTGTAGGCATGTGGCTGCATATGTGTGTGTCTACATGCAGTGTGCTATGTTGTCTACTGGCATGCCAAGAATTCTTAGTACGAATATATAGTAAGTGCACCTGCTGAGTAGTAGAAAATGATCGTAGATATTTATTTTTATGTTTTACGAAAAAAAAAGCAGAAAACTAAAAAATCTGATGGAGCGTTCAGTTTCTGAGTTGGCGCCCAAACTCTCTCTTCAAGTCAATCAAATGAGTACACACGTATGGGTGAACGTGTGCACGCACACCAGCGAGCTGCGTATTCATATTCATACACACACACTGTGCGTGTGCATAACGCGCGCCGCGAAGAGAGCCGCGACAACAATACCCACCACCGATGCAGCGTCACACACACACGCCGCTCGGCTCTGGTGAGACGACGACCGAGCTCGCTGTGCTGAGCATGCGCATGCGCGAGGCTCTCTTGGGCACACGGACACAAGGCGCCGCGCTGTCAGGCACACGTATCGAATGCCTTTTGTTCACATCTTGACTCTGACTCTGCCTGACTCTTCCCACCATCGCCGTCTGTCGACCGTCCCCGTCGTCTGTCGACAGTCGTTGGCTTTGTGAGAGTGAGAGTCCGACACCACGACTCCCCACCGCTTGTGCTGTGCTATTGCTGTTGCTGTTGCTGCCGCTGCTGCCTTTGCCTCTGCTGATTGTTGTCGTTTTCGCTGCTGTTGTCAGTGTAAATTTGTGCTTCGCTCTGCGCGGTTGAAGACGTGCGACGGCAGCAGCATTACCGACTTGGGTATCCAAGCAGCGACAGCCACTACGTCGAGAACTTTGAGTCAAATTTGAGGCAAATTCGTTGTCGGATTACACTCTGCTTGGAGTGTTGCGGCCGTTCGGTTCAAATATTTCATTTAGTCACAAATTCTCGAAATATACAAAAATAAAACAACTGAAAAGGCGTCAAATAATGTGCTAGTAGTATATCTGTTAACTGCTCGAGCGCCGAGTTTAATTGTTTGTTTTCATCGTAAAATCAAATTTTATGACCAGTAAAAAAAAAAAAAAAAAAAAAACAACAGCAAATAAAAAATCAAGCAAACAACTTTTATACTCCCTCTCACGCATTGGAATTTTCTCGCGCCAATTGTGCCGGTCAATAAAAATAATAAAAACAAGAATAATAATAATAATAACACAACAACAACAATATCACAATTCCGCAAACGAAACTATAAGTATAATGTTTACTAAACTTCAACAGTGAATACAAAGTACAAAACAAATAGAATAAAATCAAAACAAATAAAATAAAATAAAAGGAAAAGAAGTAACACTCGTTGTAGCAAAAAACAAAAAACAAAAATAAAACAAGTTGACCAAGATACAATATTAAATCAGGTTGATGGCCAATTGAAAAGCCCAATTTGAAAACATTTGTGCCAGCTCTGAACACTGTAGTCACCCTGTGCTCGTTCTTCTCTTTGACTCGCTTTCGATCGAATAGGTCGGCCCAGCAGCGACAGCAACAACTGTGGGTGGTTTTATGTAATTCGCGCTCTCTTCGCCCGTCCAGCACCGCTCTTCACTCTGCCGCTCTCCCTCACACGCAACGGCGTATCTCATTCAGCTCAGCTCAGCGTGCCTGCGTTTGTGGCGTGTGCGTGTGTGCGTGTCGTCTACGTGTACGTGTGTGTGTGCGTGAGTGAAACAACGACTGAACCGACTAGAATAACCGTAAGAAACTGTTTTCATATGACTGCGAATCAATTCAAATCAAAGCGAAAATATTGGGAAAATCTTGAATCGAATACAATACGTTTCAGCTGAACGTAAAAATTGTTGAAAACAATTGAAAAACAAAAACGAAATTGAAACAAAGACCAAGGAATAGTACGAATCACTCTGATCTGTGGGCCAGGGCTGTGTCCCGATTGGTGTGTTCGGTGTGTTGAGAGTGATCCTTTTGTTCCCGCCGACTGACTGAACCGCATTCAAAATAACCGTAAATATTCCACCCCTCCCCCAAACCCCAACCATCCCGCTGGCGTGCGCTCTCTACGACCCCCACGATGTCTCGGCAGTCGGGTCGCACGCCACTGCCGGGGCTTGGTGGGGGCCGCATCATACACATCCTCATCCACATCCACATCCACACCCCCACCCCTCCTCGACGTCCGCCGTGCTCCAACACCACCAGCAACAGCAGCAGCAGCAGCAGCAACAACAGCAGCAGCAGCAACAGCTGCAGCAGCAACAACAGCAGCAGCAGCAACAACAACAATTGCAACAGTCCGCGCAGCATTTGCAGCAACTGCATCACCATCCGCACCATCACCACCACCTGCCTCAGACCCAGCCACTGCATCATCATCTGCAGCATACGGTTGTCTCCTCCGCCTCGGTTGCATTGTCCACGCCAACTTCTGTGCTGCAGCAGCAGCAGCAGCAGCAGACGACGCCTACAACACATTCCACACCTACGCATGCTGCTATGTATGAGGATCCCCCACCTGTGCCAATCGTGCCCGTGCAGCAGCAGCAACAACAGCCGCCTCTCCAGCACCTGCCCCCGCCACAGCAGCAACAGCAACAGCAGCAGCAGCAGCAACAACTTACAACAACTCCTGTTGGCAGTGCCCTTAGTCCCGCCCAGACGCCTACTGGAACTGCCCCACAGCAGACTCAGCATCTCACATCACCTCATCATCAGCAGCAACAACAACAACAACAGCAGCAGCAGCAGCAGCAGCAGCAACAACAACAGACGCCAAACAGCGCCCCTAGTGGCGCCACCTCAAGTCTCCAGCAACAAAGCTCTGTTGTGGCATCTGGCCAGAGCCAAATTGTTGCGCCAACAACAGCGAGTGTCTCTCCCTCCAGTGTCAGTTCTCAGCAAGCAGGTAAGCCCTCAAAGCTACTTCCAATTGGAGTTGTCAGCGACAGCGACAGGCAAATCGAAAATCCAATTGGGCTTGCAATTCTCATGCAAATAGTCATTCTACATATATTCCCTTATTCAAAGACTCTTTAATATATGATCTATTCACAACATGTGAAATTTTTATTTCTGTTCGGAATCTCTAAGAATTTATATTTATATTCCACTTACAATTGATTTTTTTTAATGAATTTGGACAGTTGCATATGATTAGATAATGATTAATTTTTTTTTTTTTTAAAGATATTTTTAAGTATAATTTAATATAGTTTCTCATTAATAAACTCATTGGGTATAATATTCAAATTACATAATATAAATTGAAGATGAAATAGGAATATGAATAGAAATAGCAATTAGGATACTAATGGCTAATTAATAATAAGAAATATTATTTATAAGCCTATGAATCTTTATAAAACGTTCCCAAATAAGGGTGATTAAAAATGTTGGTGTTCAATTTAACCGAATTCTAGAAGTTGTAGCCATCAATAATAAAATATACAAAAAATTTACATAATCTTATAAAATGCTGATGAATTTATAATAAGACCATAAAAACAATTTCAAAATAAATAGAAAAACAATATAAAAAAATAATAAATTAAATAAAAAATATATATAAAAATATAAAATATAAATATAAATACATAATAAATAAAATAAATATAAATATAATTTTCAAAAATAAAATACTAATATTAAAAATAAAAAAATTAATTAAAAATTATTTCTATAGAACTACAACTGCGAGGTGGTTGTCTGTATATATGGTATGAAAAATATGTTCAAAAAGAATGAATTACTAGATTATGGGTTAGCATGCAATAAACTCTTCATAGAAATATAATATTTTGTTTTCTGAATAAAAGTAGTTTGATCACAGGAATTAGTTTACAATTTTTAGATAATCCAAATGTAAATATTCTTTTATTTATTTATTTTTATACTACATGTATTTTATAAATAAATATTTAATGCTCAGGTATTTTTTAAAGACTGTCTCTATATTGAAACTAGTTGGGGTATTATTATTATTATAATTATTATTATTATTATTATTATTATTAATTAGTAAATATAATAATATTAAATCAAAATTTAGTTTATATTTAATTTAAAATTTTAATTTGAACGTAGCAGTCGGGCGTTACCGACTGCGGAATACTCATTCACATCCCATCAACAATTTAGTAGTTACCCAACTGGGCGTAGACACCTCATTTTTGGTCAGTTTTTAGAACGAGATAACGGTACCCTAACTGCAATATTTGAATGCTTACCCTCAAAAAAAGTGAAAATTACAGTGTATTTTCCGATATGCCTTAAAGAGGCGTAAAAATTATTTTTTGGGGAATCGATAGGGGAGGCTACCAGTAACTCAACTATCTAAACTTGAAGCTTCTAGCTATTATACTTTAGGAGATATAAACTTTTCCGATTTGCCACGCCCATAGTGGGCGGATCGGGAAAATTTTAACACTTTATAAATCGGAGATATACACAAGTCTCTAGCTTCAATAGCGCCGAAATAGATTGCGTTCATACGGACAGACGGACGGACGGACAGACGGACAGACGGACGGACAGCAAGACGGGCATTGCACAAAATCAATATACTGATTCACTTTCGTGAATGAGTATAAAAATACGCAGCTATAACTAATGTTATAATAAGAATTCTCTTATTATTTCCCTATACAGTAACTAACAAATTTAAGAAAATTTCAATTTATTTATTTTAATATAATATTTATATTATTATATTTATATATTTCAATATTTAAAAAAATAATGTGGGCTTACTCATAGAACTGCTTTAACTAATGCAGTTCTATTACAACGCTATTTCTAGACTTTAAGAGTTAACCATATACGTATATATATATATATATATATATATATATATATGTCTATAGATTTAAGTGCTTTATTAAGAACGAACAATGTTCGTTGAGCTGTGTTATATGACAGGTCATCAATAACCCCGATGTATTGTATTTTACAGACATGTCCATCTCATTAGCACCAATACATATACCCGCGATCAGGCCTGGCTTTGAAACGGACGCAACGACGCCAGTTAAGCGGCACGCGCATCCGTGGCCGTACGAGAATGAGTTCAACCAGTACCATGCCTCACCGTACTATCTCGATAGGGATCGCAAGCCTATGTTCTACGGCTACCCCGAGACCCAGTTTCAGGTGAGTGCTCGAGGCCAGCAGCAGCAGCAGCAGCAGCTACACTGACTTGCTCTCCGGCTCAAATCGTGCCGCATAGTCGACTCGGCCGTCTCGTAAACAACTCAATGTCAACCTCACCTTTGCTTTTCCACCTTTCCCCCGCGCCTCCCTCGCTGTAGCCTGCATATTGGCCCAACTATCGCGATCAGCCAACCTCCGCTGCAGCGGCAGCCTACATGAGCGCCACCGACGAGCGCCATGCTTCAGTTAGTGCGGCAGCAGCGGCGCGGCAGTCAGTGGAGGGCACCTCGCAGTCCAGCTACGAGACGCCCACCTACTCCTCACCTGGTGGGCTGCGCGCCTTTCCCGAAGCCTACTCGAGCACAGGTAAGTCGCAACAGCCTTCCACTCGCTTTATCGCTGTTCCACTTTGATTTTGCCCGTAGCGAAAACGACGCAACTAGAGAGTTTGCCGTTTAATTAGCGTATTGGAAATATCTGTTCGATAGGCATACCTACATATATGTATATGCATGTGTATTTACCCCGACACCACCTTCGAGTAGCCACTCCCAAACAACCCTCCGATATAAATAGCAGAATATAGGAAGATGATTACAAACAGTTTTAATATTTACTTAATATTTAAGAATGCATATAATATAAGTAGCATTTGAAATGAGGGATAGATAGATAGTTTTAGATTTTATTTTTAATTAGTAAAGTACATGATGCATTTTATATGTGAATTCTAATCATTAATATATGTTTGTCATGTGTCGCCAGGCACCTCTGGTGGCCTCTCGGTAGGCGCTGTCGGGCCTTGTACGCCAACGAATGCGATGCATGAGTGGACCGGACAAGTGTCGGTGCGAAAAAAGCGCAAGCCGTACTCAAAGTTCCAGACGCTGGAGCTGGAGAAGGAGTTTCTTTTCAATGCGTACGTCTCGAAGCAGAAGCGCTGGGAGTTGGCGCGTAATCTACAGCTGACGGAGCGTCAGGTGAGTGGAGATGGGATTGATAATGAGTGCAACGATTGTAATTGGTTCGCATGACTCTGTGGTGTGTGTTTAGGTGAAAATCTGGTTTCAAAATCGACGCATGAAGAACAAGAAGAACTCGCAGCGACAGGCCACGCAGCAGAACAACAACAACAACTCCAGCAGCAACCACAATCATGCTCAGGCCGCACAGCAGCACCACAACAACCACCATCTCAACCTGGGCCTGAGCATGGGTCATCATGCCACGAAGATGCACCAGTGACCTTTGGACAACAGCAACGCCGGCGCCATGGGCTTTGCCACCTACTAGCATTTGGCCAATCCCCATCCGACGTCGCAGCCACATTTCGAGCCCCATCTCAGTTCGAATGCAATGTTGAACCCGGTCAAGAACGAGATGATGCTCGACTTTACGTGCTAGCTGAGAGACGAGATCCACAACCGAACCCTGTATGCCAAACACATCGGACTCCAGAGAGCAATTTGAGGGCAGGAATGTGGCGGGCGACGAGGAGGGAGGCAGCTAGGAGCCTAAGAGCTGGCGTTGCTGTTTTATTCAAAGTTTAAACCGTTGGCTCACCCCAACAAGAGTGTCGAAATGTTCTTTAATGAAGTACAGTTAGTTGATAAGTCCGTTCTTGAAGTAACCCTATATAAAAGCAAAAGCAAAAGCAAAAGCAAAGGCAAACAAATGTAAATCACCCAGTTTATTATGGCTTGGTGCAGTAGATGCGTGCAGTTGCAGAGTTAGCTGCATGAAACTTTAATGTAAACAATATATGAAAACTGGGAGAGGAAGAAGAAGAAGAGGTCGAAGGAGCAGTAGAATGATGCACATTGAATATTTGAAAATACTTTGTGAATATTTGAAAATACTTTGTGTATATTAAATATATCCTTCGGCTTTCTTTCTCTCCATCTCTCTCCCTCCCTCTGTCTATCTTTCTCTCGCTCTTTCTCTCATAAATTAAAGCGCATTATTAATTAATTTTGAACTATAAATATTATATGCATATACGAAATAATATCCATATTAATTATGAATACAAATACAATTGAAGTAGTAGATTTTAATGTAAGCGCAGGTTAAATCCAAGTGTAGGTCCACAGCAAGTTCTTCAAACGAAACAAATAAATTGTTTAACAATTTTTACAGACAGCACAAGATATATATTCACACACACACACATATGAGCCCCAAATATATATATATATATATATATATATATATGTATATAAATATATATACATGTATCTGATCACACCACACAATATGCAATTCAGTTAAACAGAGCCGGACTTTTAGCATAAATTTTGTCATTACAAATATTGTTCGTTGTGTCGTGTTTCTTAGGTAAATATTAAGTTCCTGTATATAAACTAAGACATAAAGCGCATCAAACGAAAAACGGATGCCCTCTGAAACTGAAATGGAACCGTCTGAAATCAATTTGTGGTTTGTCAGTAAAAAAAAAAACAAAAACAAAGAAAACGAGATATTAGTAAAAACACAAATAAAGAAGTAAAACAAACAAAATTATGAATGTAGAAATTTCGAATACAAAAGTCGAATTAATTTTATTGAAATTTATTTGATGTCTGTGCATAATTACTTCATAGTTAATGGCGCTTTTGATCTGACACAAGAAAATAGTGAACGCTAACGTAAAAACATAAATTAAAACTAAAACTAAAAACAAATGAAAGAAACCCTAAAGAAGGAAATTCATTTAACTAATAACATTTAAGAAATACACGTGGAATCGAATCGAAGGGAGTTGAGCAACAATTAATTTACAATACATACCTTAAAGCTACTTACATTACAATTATATATAGACTACATATATATATATACATAGTAAGGCACACACACATATATATATGTTTATATATGTATTATGTATATCAACTCAGCTTAATCCTGATATTACATCTAAGTTCAGTTATGTTGTGTAATTATCGAATTTTTGTTAATGTTTTGCTTCATACATTATATAATATATTGTGTACAAGTATGTCTACATACATGATTGTCGTATGCCTATATACATATGTATATATACGTATGTATACATACACAGATATACTATACATACATACTTAATTATTAATGAAATTATTTCGCCAATTGCTTTATCCTAGTTCTTGTATTATTATTCTTTCACACCTTTTGCATAAGTTGTAGTCTAAAGTCGGTTATGTTTATGCTTATGTTCGATTATAGTTTGTTTAGAAAATTTTTACATAGCATTAGCAATTCTCTTTTTTAAAAAGTTAATTATTGTGAATAAAATAAACAAATTGCAAAAATTAAATCCAACAAATATACACAATTTCCAAACTAACGCAGAGTATACTCTTGTAACTCATTTAGCTAATTCGTTACTTTCCATTTCATTACTGAGTTACCAAAATATCTTGAGAATTCGGTCAAAAACCCTCTTGGTTCGTCTATTAATTTTCGGATTATCCAATCTTAGTTTTAATATCCTTTCTTTATTCCTTTGAGTTCGATTTTGATTTTGGTAAGTACTTCTGGCCCCTATTAAGGCTCTTGTCGCAGAGGTTATCGAAGCGATTCAAGGACGACCTCTCAGCATCGAATTTATTCATAAGCATCAATAGAAGTTACTAATACAAAGAATAAATAAACATATACAACATAAATTTGCAATCTATTTGAAATACAAAAGCTAATATTAATTTGTACTAAAAGTTCCGATAATTCAAGTCAATTATTATTTCCTTTGTTTATTTATTTGCATACATTTCTTTTAAGAGTTACATTTCTATTCTGAGTTAGCGTTAACGTTTTTATTTTCATATAAGATAAAATGCAGCGCTTCTACAAATGAAATCTAGATTGAAATAGTCTTGTTTTGAAATATGTCATAAGGTTAAATAAATTATTACGTAACTGTGATGTCTGAAGTTTTATTTACAAGTATGAAAGGCATCGATACAATTTTTTTCCCCTAACATAATAAATCAACCATGGGATATTTACTCATTCACTTTGTTTTGAATCTAATGTGCACAAAGTAAAATTTTATATGATGTTAATATCTATCGATCCGTTGTAAATTATGCAGATAAAGTCTACTGATAATAATGATAATGATAACACATCTAGTCACAAATTAAAGTTAAAGATCGGATAATAAATATGGAATCTATCCATAGCGGATTGTTTCTATATTAAAGATACACCAGCTCCTTCCATAAAATAAAACACAGCAAATGACTTCTGGAAGGAGAAGTCTGAAACAGGCCATGTTTCATTTCATGAAATGTATGCATACTTCATTAGGGTTATTGGTAATCCATCTCTGTTTCTCTGACTGCCCGTCAGTTAGAGTTATAATATTCCGTTAGAGTATTAATATTTAATGTAGCTGAGGTTCACTCAAATTTGTTCTGGATGGCTTCTACAGAATAAAACTCAATTTATGCTTATTGGATATCTGCTTCAGCATCAGACAAATGAAATCTTTTTCGCTTATTTATTTACTTATAATCTCTTGACTTGACAATAAATAATTTGTATTACATAGAGAGAGACTGACAGTCGTCAGGCCCATCAGTCCAATGGCGTCAGGAATGGCAGGTGCAGTGAGTGCCTTCTCTTTATACGTCTGGCTTGTGTATAGTCAAGTAGACTTATTGCTAGCACTCTTACATGGTTATCTAGCCTCTGGAGATACCGTCTGCTGAGTCTTCCTCGTAAGGAATATCGAGGTCTCTGTGCAAGACAGAGTTCCTGCCTATGGGGGAGTATCCACCGACAAATCTAATTTAAGAATCTAATTTGCTACTTGAGTGATATTTATATAGAATAGAATAGAAATAAAAGTTAACATAAAACATGAAAGTAAGCAAGTAGTATCTGAGGTATCGAGGCAGTGGACTCCCTATTGCTTATTTATTTTATAGCATAATATTTTAATGACCTTAGCAGTTAATACATTATATCTCATCGTACCTTTTAATTCATCACCAGTTGACCAAACAAATTAAAGTAAGTGCAATTGTGAAAATGTTATTAAAGCCAATGTTCTAAGATTCCAATTGTAAATTTATACCTTTTCCCGATAGTCGAGGCCCGGTGAGTATGAAAAATATTCGGAAATGTAAGCAATTAAAAAAATTGTAGTCGGGTATTCGATACTTTTTATTCCGATTGAACTTGATTTTAAGATAGATGCAGTTATGGAATTATTAAATGCCATGTAAACTTAAATAATATTAATAACAGTCAATGCGATGAATTGAGCCACTCCTTCCGTATGTTGAATCGATTGTTTGAATTGCTCAGTGACAGGCCTACAATGTGATATACGAGTACATTTTTGTATTCTAATTAAACGCATTCTCTTATTATCGATAAAAATCGATACTTCTTTTGTTATGTGATTAGATGTTATTAAACCAAAGTCCATTTAGAACAAAAGTTATTCAACAACCAACGAAAGCATTCGCTGTGCAGTGGGCAGAGGGCGTGCTTCTACGTGTATGCGCCTGTGTGCGTGTATATGTGTTTTTATGGTATATATGTATAAAGTATGCTTGGAATGTTGTCCGCAGGGTTCAGGGCGAAATGTCGCTAAATGCCGACTAAAGTACTTTAACTTGTTTTAAGCACACCATAAAAAGCTCAGCTTTTTCTTAAACGAAGATAAATATATGGACTATGAAATTCAATATGCGAAAATTACTGTTTAGTATGGTAAATTTTATATTTAAAATATATACTAAATATAAGGGAGGCATACGTACGTTGCATTGGTTTCAAAGAGACGTAACAAGATGTGTATGACTTTTGCCTATGGAATTTGGTTTTGATGAGAGCACGTGACATCAAAATATGTTATCCTTTAATAAAAGATGAGACAGAATGAGTAGCAGACCGGAAAGAAAGGCAAGGTCTGCATATAACACATATGCACGGACTCAAAAATGAAATGTTAACTTATGATAAGATTTGAACTTCAATTATATTCATAAGGCCTGAGGGTAGAAAACATATTCTGCCTTATATACTTGCACTTGGTTATATGTAACTGAAATATACACAGATTTTTAAGTAATCGGCATTGAGGGGATGCAAAATATGCGCACAAAGGAAATGCCATAAAATGCACCCCGTTATGTAAACATTGGCATTCCCCTCTGCGAAGCTTGAAAGATGGTGAAGTAAAGTGAAGTAAAGTGTTTCCCTGCGACTTAATGCGTTTTTTATGTTATGTACAAGGAGCGCGTATTCGTATCTATCGAACTCTATTTGGTTTCATAGGGTGGCGCATAGCAGATATTTGCTTTGAAGTCGAATGCAATTATCGCACCCCTAGCCGAAATTTACTTCAGGTCTATTTTTAGCAATGCGACCACTTGAATTGTTTGCCAATGTAACAAACCCAATCGACTTTTACTTTTCAAAACCTTTCGACCAAAAAATATCTTATATTTATATTCTAACTTGTACTTGATTTTAGCCCACCTCAGTTGGATGTGAATAAAGGCTTTATCTATCTTCACATATTGCAGGCGGAGAGCAATTCGCACATCTCATATGCAAGATATTTTCTTCTTGTCGGACATAATGAAATCATATGGATATGCATGAGATGGACATAAGTCTGTAATCCTATAATGCCATACAAATCGAAAATCATTCAACCATCCCCAACTCATGCTGAAACGAAACTGAACGAGTATACATAGTATCCTTAAAATGTATTTTGCTTCTTTGTAGGCAGGAATGTGTAAACTTATATTTTGTATACTCATTCATGAAGTGAAAGTGAAAGCTAGGAGTGTAGCAATTCAGGAGAACCAGGAGAGCCAGTAGC